ACCAACACAGGAAAAATTCATATTACTAGAAAACATTGGTATCGAAGGAACTAGATTCTGTTCCGAAATATCACTTACTCGAACCGTCCTGACCGCGTAGCTCAGTTGGAAGAGCATTGGGCTAGTATTCCAAAGGTCGTAGGTTCGAATCCCACCGTGGCCGGGCATATTTTTCAAGCTCGCCTGGTGTGGATATGCACTCAGAGTAACATCGCAAACATATTAAATTCACCTGAGTACACAACACCAACACAGAAAAAATTCATATTACTAGAACACATTGGTATTGAAGGAACTAGATACTGTTCTGAAATATCACTTACTCGAACCGTCCTGACCGCGTAGCTCAGTTGGAAGAGCATTGGGCTAGTATTCCAAAGGTCGTAGGTTCGAATCCTACCGTGGCCGGGCATATTTTCAAGCTCGCCCGGTGTGGATATGCACTCAGAGTAACATGGCAAACATATTATTCACCTGAGTACACAAAACCAACACAGAGAAAAAAAAAATTCATATTACTAGAAGATATTGGTATTGAAGGAACCAGACACTGTTCCGAAATATCACTTACTCGAACCGTCCTGACTGCGTAGCTCAGTTGGAAGAGCATTGGGCTAGTATTCCAAAGGTCGTAGGTTCGAATCCTACCGTGGCCGGGCATATTTTTCAAGGTCGCCCGGTGTGGATATGCACTCAGAGTAACAGCGCAAACATATTATTCACCTGAGTACACAACACCAACACAGAAAAAAAAAATTCATATTACTAGAACATATTGGTATTAAAGGAACTAGATACTGTTCCGAAATATCACTTACTCGAACCGTCCTGACCGCATAGCTCAGTTGGAAGAGCATTGGGCTAGTATTCCAAAGGTCGTAGGTTCGAATCCCACCGTGTCCGGCCATATTTTTCAAGCTCGCCCGGTGTGGATATGCACTCAGAGTAACATCGCAAACATATTATTCACCTGAGTACACAACACCAACACAGGAAAAAAAATTCATATTACTAGAACATATTGGTATTGAAGGAACTAGATACTGTTCCGAAATATCACTTACTCGAACCGTCCTCACCGCGTAGCTCAGTTGGAAGAGCATTGGGCTAGTATTCCAAAGGTGGTAGGTTCGAATCCCACCGTGGCCGGGCATATTTGCAAGCTCGCCCAGTGTGGATATGCACTCAGAGTAACAGCGCAAACATATTATTCACCTGAGTACACAACACCAACACAGAGAAAAAAAAAATTCATATTACTAGAAGATATTGGTATTGAAGGAACCAGATACTGTTCCAAAATATCACTTACTCGAACCGTCCTGACCGCGTAGCTCAGTTGGAAGAGCATTGGGCTAGTATTCCAAAGGTCGTAGGTTCGAATCCCACCGTGGCCGGGCATATTTTCAAGTTCGCCCGGTGTGGATATGCACTCAGAGTAACATGGCAAACATATTATTCACCTGAGTACACAACACCAACACAGAGAAAAAAAAAAAATTCATAATACTAGAACATATTGGTATTGAAGGAACTAGATACTGTTCCGAAATATCACTTACTCGAACCGTCCTCACCGCGTACCTCAGTTGGAAGAGCATTGGGCTAGTATTCCCAAGGTCGTAGGTTCGAATCCCACCGTGGCCGGGCATATTTTCAAGCTCGCCCGGTGTGGATATGCACTCAGAGTAACATGGCAAACATATTATTCACCTGAGTACACAACACCAACACAGAGAAAAAAAAAATTCATATTACTAGAAGATATTGGTATTGAAGGAACCAGATACTGTTCCGAAATATCACTTCCTCGAACCGTCCTGACTGCGTAGCTCAGTTGGAAGAGCATTGGGCTAGTATTCCAAAGGTCGTAGGTTCGAATCCCGCCGTGGCCAGGCATATTTTTCAAGCCCGCCCGGTGTGGATATATACTCAGAGTAACATCACACAAACATCTTATTCACCTGAGTACATTACACCAACACAGCAGATTTCATGATTATTAGATTACACTGATATCGAAGGAACTAGACTCAGTTCCGAAATATCGCATACTCGAACAGTCCTGACCGCGTAGCTCAGTTGGAAGAGCATTGGGCTAGTATTCCAAAGGTCGTAGGTTCGAATCCCACCGTGGCCGGGCATATTTTTCAAGCTCGCCCGGTGTGGATATACACTCAGAGTAACACCACAAATATCATTAAATATTATTGTTATTATTATTATCTTTGCAGAAGGGACAACTTCGATTGGTTTATTATTAACATACGCGGGTGTAAACGTACGCCCGGGTCTTGCAAAGGTAATTTGAAGCTCTTTGCATTTCTCTTCGCTTAACTGAAATTTATTTGCAGTTGATTTCCTTATAAACTCGTCTACCTGAGATTGGATGCTGCTGGTTTCATGTTTAAGGACAATCTCGGAGATTGTAGTATCGTCCACATACCTCCATAAATCTATATCCTCCACTTTTAGGTCATTTATCATTATAGCAAAAAGCCAAGGACCCAATTTAGTCCCTTGAGGGACGCCTGCCGGAACCAAACCCCATTCGGAGAAACAATCTTGGCTTAACTTGACGCGCTGTTTACGGTCTTTGAGAAAATTAACGACCCACCCAATTATTCGCTTTGGTATTTCAAAGGTAGTAAGCTTGTCTACGAGAATACCATGATCGATTAAGTCAAAGGCTTTTTTGAAATCAAAAAGGACAACCCGCACCAAAGAACCGTTTCCGTCCGTTTGTTTTTTCTTGACTTCGCCGCATAATAACACCATATTTAGAGCCGCATAATAACACCATATTTAGCGATCTTGTTTGCGTTGTGTGTTTCGAAATTAAATATGTTTATATCGTTAATTCTTCAAAAAGCGCAACAAATGATATTATGTCATTAACATATCAATATCTTACTCCTCTAGAGCGTAATTTTACGCATACCAAAGTTGTTGTATTCACGGAAGGATAGAATGAACACAACCGGACGGTGCGTGAAATTAGACAGTTCAACTTGGCGCGAGTTATTTATCGCGATTTCGCGATGTGGAATTAAGTTAACCGCTTGAAATTACTTTTGAATACGTTCCCTAGAATGCTCATCAAACAAAATTGTAAGTTTTTCGTTATAAAGGTAAAAAAATAAGGTTTTAAACGAGCTTTGGGATATATAACAGCGCTGACCAGCCCCTTTGTCAGAAAAAAACAGTGATCTTTCACAAGCTACCATGGACGAACGGAACGGAATAATGTCTTCATTTTCCCTCACGTACTAAGGAATATGACAAGTAAAAATGGTGGTTTCATTAGTGGTTAAGCGGCCCAAGCAGTTTATTTAGAAACTAGTCGTTCCAGCTCCAGGTTGAAATCGAACCTGGAGCTGCGAACCAGGAGCCGTCTGTCTCGTCATTATTAGCGAAGTCTAAAGTTCATCAATGATCGCGGGCGTGGGTCACCAACAGTGGGTGGTCATTCTCACTGATCTCAAAATATGGCTGTTTGCCAGGAGTGGGATTAGCAACTGAGATTTCAATTTTCAAAAGCATATATTTGGAAAATCATGTTTCACACAATGAGCTTTGAAGCAATTTTTGTTTGAAGAAATGAGAAGAATTGAATTACTGTGGGAAATCGTGAAATATAATAGTCTAGGACCTGTATATGAGTTTGTATGCGTTTCATTTAGGACAGGTAATCTCAACTGTTTTAGGGTAAAATGACCATGGCGGTCAACATGGCACATGTGCCAAAACCTGAATCCGGGACGAAATTACGTCCTAAAAATGACACCGCCCTGAAACGGCAGTGTCGACATAGCTCTAACTTCCGAAAAGGAAAAGCAATAGCCTTTCTGAAGTGCTTATAGTGTTCAGATGGATTGGTTTTAGGGGTGGTCATTGGAAGGAAAAATTTTTCTAAGTATAATATTTTACAAGAAAATGACCATGCACCACCCCAGGTAAATTGCTAATTATGCACAAAATAACTAATATGCCTGGCAGAAATTAAATTTCCTTATTTCCTAAAAAAAATTATCATGAGGTGAAAAACGATGTTCAATTTAATATAATTATTGTGGATTTCATAAGGATTGTCATTATTTTTATTAAATATAATGCATTTTATTTCACTTACCCCCCATGAAAACACGATTTCAGCCATATTTTGCAGTCTTGTTTGCTTTTTATCGCAGAATCTGGCAAATATCATCCAGTTGTTGTACTTTTACATAAGCATGAATGGCTGGAGAAGGTTTCAAAACAAAGTTTAATCAAGTTTGGAAACAGTGCAGTGTATTTTATCTTCGATATTAGTGTCCTTCGATATTTCGTGAAATATGGCGCCATCGAGGGCACCATTGCAATGGCGCGCCACTTCTCTGCCCGATAAATGCCACTTCTTCGTCTTCCTATGTATTTAGATTACACTATACAGAAGTAATTCATTGTAGAGTAGTCCCAATCGAAAAATTGAAAACATTAGTTGTATTTGAAAGGAGAAAGCCTCCCAATACAAGTGTCTTGACTGAATTCAAAAGAAGTAATTTAAAAGTCACGCGTAAGTTCGTGAAAACTCCTCGTCGGCTACACGACAGGGGGGGGGCTGAATATTTTCACGAAACGCTTGTTCGCCACCACAGAAACATAACTAAATACACTATATTTATTGAATGTTTATTGGAGTTTTCACGAACTTGCGCGTGACTGTTAAATTACGTCTTTTGAATTCTGACAAGACAGTTGTATTGGGAGGTTTTCTCCTTTCAAATAATAATAATAATAATAACATTTCTATAGCGCATATCCATTGCTGTTCTATGCGCTTTACATTGTAAAATTAAGTATACAGTAGTTTACATCTATTATATATGTATAAGCTATAATATTAAAATTCGTCTTATAAGTCCCATATGTCTATATATGTATATCTAAAAAACTAGTAAAAATATTAAAATAAAATCTCTTATAACTGTAAGTCATATGTCATAAGCTAATTTAAAAAGATGAGTCTTTAATTTGGATTTAAAAGTATTAATGTCAGTTATAGATCTAATATCCACTGGCAGTGTGTCCCAAAGTTTTGGGGCAGTTACCAAAAATGCCCGATATCCATAGGTTTTAAGTTTGTATGCAGGTTGTTCTGTAAGGCCTACTCTGGGGCGGTAAATCGCCTTAAATCGCTGCGATATAATGCGATTTTGGGCGATTTTAGGCGATTTAAGGAAAAACTGGGACTTTGAAGCACTGCGATTTAAAGCGATTTTAGGCGATTTAATGCGATTTAAGAGAAAATTCTAAATTTTAGGGATTGCAATTTAGACCTGTTTTTTCAAGGTAATTGAATTTTATATTTTTCTCCGGTTTTCTCCCACAAGGCAAAATATGGCAGGGTGGGTTAGAATAAAAACAGTTAGAAAACTGATATCATATTCTCATTGTTATAAAGATATATAGTCTAGACTAACATAAGTAACCCTAATACTTTATGTAAGCGGTGACTGAAAAGCCCCAAAGGGGAGTGAGCTGAATAATGTAATGTTTTTACACACATTGACACATATGCATTGTATGAAGCAAAATACAATTATTAGAACATGTATGTACATTTTACATAAAGCTAGGTTAATAATTATTGTATTTAATCCGAATCATATATAAAGCTCAATATTCGTGAACTTTTCATCCATTGTCTTATTTAGAAGCCATTGGAGTTCATCTTGTGGGGTCATTTGGTCATGCATTCATTGCTACATTATATACCACAAATATTGTAAACAGTTAATAAATATACTCTACTTAAGGGGCATGTACGGTACATAATTGCAAAATACCAACCTATAACTAA